TTAAGAACCAGTCAGCAGAAGTAGCAGGGTGATGGACGTAAGTGGGGGCTCCGGGTGGGGGGAGAGGTTGGGCCATCCGACGATCTTTCAGGACGTGAGCCACGAAACGACAAAACTGAGTAACCTCCACCCTAACACCACAGAGCTCCGGGAGGGATTTTGGAGGAAGGCGAATGCAATTCTAAAATATGACAAGCCTGAAGGTCCCGGGACTGTTAATCTTTGAAAGCTGGAACCTGATAAAGATTAGACTTGCCTTCTGAAATATGTTATATTGAGAACATCAGTAGTTGTTGATAAAAGAGAATCAGCCAAATGATACGTTTTGGTCCCATGATCTATGATCCGAGAGATGTAGTACAGTACTGGGCAGAATGAGGAAGGTTTTTAAGGTGACAGATAAGCCAAACTAAATGCTGGTGAAAGCTTGCGGGGTGAATGGAATTGCCTGCAGGCTGAATATGGCCTATGTGTCAAGGTCATCATGTGAACGATCCAGTTGGGAACAATCCCTGCTTCCTGCCTTCAGCGATTCCTTATACCAGCGGTGCTCACACTTTTTGACCAGTGGGCCGGATGGGCAGTGCCTGATCTCTCCGTGGGCTGGATCCAGTGGGGCCCCATCAAGCTGCGCAGAGTGGGGAGGGTGGCAGCCTGGTCCTGATCCAGCTGCATGGTGGAAGGGGGCCTGGGCCAGTCCTAACCTGGCCCCACTGTCAGGAAGGACCATGGCCTGGCCCCGAATCAGCCCCGCAGGTGGAAGGGACATGGCCCAGCCCTGTGGGTAGGGCAGGAAGGGAATGTGCTCCTGCTGGGAACCAGCTATGCATAGGGAGGGCGCATGACCTGGCTCCTCTGACTTGTGGGGTTTGCAATTTTGGCAGCAGGGAGGGGTAGCAGTTCTGCCACCGCTCCTCCACTGCCAAATTTTCTGACCTGTGGGGAGCCCCATGGGCTAGATTCCATGGCTCTGCAGGCCACATTTGGCCCAGGGGCTGGAGGTTGAGCACCCCTGCCTTATACAGTCTACACTGCATATGGCAGGCCTGTTTAGCAGGCAGGAAACTGCCTGATTCAGGATTCAGCTACCTATGGCTTATGAGCTGGATGTTATGCTGTTAATAAGCAAGCAGTCAGGACTGAGCCTGTAGCTGGTACCATGCAGTATGGGCTGCTGGCAGCCCACCGAGCTTGGCAGGAGCTGGGGGACGTGGGAATGGTAGATGGTCAGGACCAGTTCTGTGGTGCCTGGGCTTCACAGAAGTGGCTGGGGGCTTGGGCAGGTGGTCAGGAATTGGAGAAGTGGGATGGTGGGAACAGGCTGTGTTTGTCTGGGCACTGGAGAGCCTGGTGGAGCACTTAGAAGGTGATAGGTGCTCAGCAGTAGCAGCATCCTATCAAACATTTTTTCTAAAGTTTGCCTGGACATCAGGTTAACCCTGTTTGTTTCAGTGGGGGGGTTGTTTTCTGGGCTGCCTCAAGACTGAGCTAAGCAATTAGCTAAAGACAACCTCATTAAGTAACATGATAATGAGCCTTAGCAAGGAGCAAACAGCTAAGCCATGCAAGAACTAGCCATCATGCTAAAATCAATTTCAGCAGTGCCTTTAATACTGAAATCAGTGAGAAATGAATGACACAATATACATGCTTGTCCATGTTACATGGGTACAATTACAGAAGCTTGAAGAGTATTGTAAACTGTCTGGCATGTTTATTATATTAACACTGGGTGATTCGCTACCTGTCTACCCACATTTCTATGTTTATTACATTCTGCTCCAATGGACATGTAGAGTTTTAAACTGAGGCACCTTCCCTTACTCATTACCATCTTTTTGCCACTGATCATCAAAACGTTGCAGGTACAAGTGTAGGCAGGAGTGAGAGAAGCTGGACTGAAGACAGGGATGGAACAACTTCTAGATCACAATCCAACAGGTCCCTCTGCTTTTGCTGTTCATCTTATTTGCCTGTGCTACTGGAAGACTGTGGAAGAGGCTGTGGGCAGGCCTGAAAAGGAGTCTTGTGGTGAAAACACTGATTTTTGTACCTTGGGGAAGTAGGTTCAAATCCTGGCTCTGTTACAGACTGTGTGTGTGACATTAGTCAAATCAGGGCCTTTGGAGTTAGCTCTGTTCTGTTCTTTGACATGAAGGGATCACAGGTGGATTGAGTGTTGGAGTTTAGCCTCATCTCACCCCTGCAGTGACTAACTGAGGAATTTGAGAGGTCAGGGAAGATTTCCAGGGTGAGAGTTTGCTCCCATCTTTCTCAAAGTGAGATGGTTTGGAATAGAAGAAGCCAAGGTTAAGTCCTATTTCCCAGCTCCAAGTGGGACATTTCAAGTGTTAAAGTTCACTCCGGTGTCCCATTAGGGAGGCCCAGCTATGCAAGGCCTTAAATGCCTGTATACCATTGCTCGGAGTATGGGGAACAAACAGGAGGAACTCGCCCTCAGAATAGCCAGCTCAAACCCAGACATAGTAGGGATCACAGAAACGTGGTGGGATTCATCCCACGGCTGTGCAGTTAGCATTAGGGGCTATAGGCTCTACAGGCGGGATAGGGAAGGAAGGAAGGCAGGGGGTGTGGTGCTCTATGTCAAAGAGCAATACACATCCTCTGCCAGCAAAATGGGGTCAGAGGAGGGGCAAGCTGAAGTGCTCTGGGTCAAGATACAAGGGGATCATGGGGAGAGGGATTTAACGGTAGGGGTCTACTACAGACCCCCCAACCAAGGGGAGGAGCTGGACCGGGAATTTTTGGGCCAGCTTGCAGAGGCACTTAAGGCAAGGGATGTAGTTGTCATGGGTGATCTAAATTACCCGGACATCTGCTGGGAGGAGCAGTCAGCCAGGTTGGACCGTTCCAGGAGGTTCCTGGCCGAGATACAGGACCTCCACTTAACCCAGGAGGTGCACAGTCCCACCAGAGGAAATGCCCTGTTGGACCTGGTCCTGGCCACAGGCGATGATCTGGTAAGGGGGCTCCAGGTCCTTGACCACCTGGGTAATAGCGATCATCGCTTGCTGGAATTCATCATCCAGCGCAGGGTGACAAGGGCCTGCAGCAAGGCAGTAGCCCTAGACTTCAAGAGGGCCAACTTCAACGAATTGAGGAGATTGGTGGGAGAGGCACTGGGGTTCTCAAGGGC